AGGGTAATTGTTTGATGAGAGACATACACTATAAGCGCAGCTAAGTTCATAGGGCACATAATCAGTATGATCAGTTCTGCAGCCAGTTAAAAATGGTTTTCTTTGGCACTCTTGTTATTTGCTGCTCATCCTGGTTTTGGCGCAATGACATTTTTAAACCATTGCTGTTTTCCTGTCAATATCCTCAGCTTCATCGCCATTAATCTCATGTTCACTATATTATTCCACTGAATGCATTAAATACACTAGAAAAAATGGCATTGTTTACAAGAATTCAAAAAGTGCAGTATCTTTGAAATTTCATCATACCTTTAGCATCAGATGCCTCAGCACAAGGCTAGGAAATATCTGGCCTTCCAGATGTTGTTGGGCTACAACTGGGCCAGCCAGCATAGCCAATGATTATGAATGCTGGGAGCTGAGTCTAGTAACATCTGTAAGGGACACACATTCCCCAGAAATGGCTTAGTGTACCATTAAGTAATGATGTTAAAAAAATCTAGTGGGGTACTGAGCTGATATAAATTGGTTCTTACTACTTGCAAAAGAACTTTCAAATCCACAAAGCACTTAGGCTTGATTTTTTTTTTCTGTGGATGACCAAATGATATGCAAGATGCTGAGCTTTATTCAGGTTGTCAGTGCTTCCTGGAATGAGATCTTGTTTTTCCTAAAATGAGTACAGATTTAGCAACAGCATGCATTTGCCACAGATCAGTGACCAAAAAAAAAAAAAAAACCTTTGCTGGAATGCATTTGTTGTTGTTGTTGTGTGCCTTCAAGTCAATTCTGAATTATAGCGGCCCTATGACAAACCTATCACAGGTTTTTCTGGGCAAGATTCATTCAGATTCTCAAAGGCCTGCTAGAATAAAAATGGTTTTTACCTGCTTGCAGAAAGATAGGGAGGAGGGAAACAATCTCTGGGACCTGCTGCTCCCTCATCATTGTCCAGGCTGGCTGGGACTGCTGGGAAATAGAGGTCCAGCAACATTTAGAAGGCAACAGCTTCCCTAGGTCTCTACTAGCAGATGGAAGGATGTTGCATTTGCTGGGCAGATGAGTTAAGAGTGTGTCCATCGCATAACAGAATGGGGCCACATGCCATGTACATCTGGATGTTCTTACCTCACATCTCTTCTCTCCTAACCCCCCCCCCATGTTTTTATCATGCAGGGATTGTGGAAGATTACAAGCCTCCTTTCTTTGATATGGTGCCAATTGACCCCAGTTTTGAAGAAATGAAGAAAGTGGTTTGTGTTGACCAGCAGAGGCCCACCATCCCGAACAGGCTGTTCTCTGACCAGGTGAGTGATGCAGCAGAAGAGGAGAATATTGTACACCAAAATAAAGCAACTTATCCCCAACAGGATACAATTGCATTTTGGAATGCAATTGGATATTATCACACTCAAAAAATGCCGCTGCTGCTGCCAAGCAACTACAACCTGCAGGCAGCCTGGCTCCCAGCTAAGCTTAGCCAGCCGATTTTCAAAAACGGGACTGTCCGGTGGCAGCAGCATGTTTTTGAGTGCAATAATGTCCGATTGCATTCTGAAACACGACTGCATCCCGTTGGGGATAGGTTGCTTTTTTTGGTGTGCGATAATCTCCAGAGTCAAGAAGAACCACTTTCTAAGTGATTGGGTGGGAGTGGGGAAGGTTACTACTGAACTTCTGGCAGAACTCATTTAACCAGGAATGGTTCTGAGGCATTTTTCTCTATCCTTGGGAAGAAATAAACCTAATGTTAGTCCCTCATTGAGTAAAGTAGACCTGCTGAATCAGTGACTGTATGGTAAGTCAACACTTAGGGCTGATGCAGGCAGCCCCTAAAGGGCAGTTCTGTGCCACCCCTGGGAGTGCTAGATCGGGGCCACAGCAACCACACACCATGGCCCCGATCTGGTTTTTTGCTGCTCCCAAAAGAGCTGGCAATACAGAGCCACCGCCACAGCTCTTTTGCGCCCCTTTGCCGCAGCGTGTGTGCATGCTGCACCAATTGGGCGCCCTGATGCCGCGCCATATGGTTGGGCACATGGCATGATGGTGGCATTGAGGTGGCCGGTGTGCAGTCACCCCACCCCAACTCTACCCCCAGGCCAGCCCTTTAGGCCAGTCTGCAATGGCCTTTAGTGTTAATTCTGTTGATTCAGTAAGTCTGCCAGCAATTGTATTTAAATCGGAGTGGGATCATGAGACCCCCAGATATGAATGGACTGCAACTCCCAGCATGGCACAAAATCAGTTAGGATTGCTGGAAAATACAATTAAGCAAGATCTAGAGCAGGGGTAGGCAACCTTTCCCCTTTAAGGGCCGAGAGACTTCAGCTCCCAGATTCCCAGGAATTATTGGCCAACATGGGACTATTGGCCAACATGGCTGAGGCTTCTGGGAGCTGAAGTCCCTCGGCCCTTAAAGGGGAAAGGTTGCCTACCCCTGCTTTAGACCAAAGAAAACATTCCATAAAATCATGGGGGCATAAACCTCCAAGTCAAAGTCATGTTACTAGTCTGAGGGGGGGGATGAGGGGCCTCTTTTTTACCCAAAGAGTAACCAGGGGCCCTTTCCCAGTCCGCAATTATAGTGCCATGATTCTACTTTGACTGCCGTTCAATCCTAGATTTCCACTGTTTATTTATTTGGAGTATTTATACTCCACTCTTCAGCCAAAAGGCTCTCAGAGTGGCTTACAAATTGAATTAGACATTTCCCTGTCCTCAGGCTTACAATCTAAAAAGACAAGACACAAAAGGAGAAGGGAACTATGATGGAGAAGGAGAAATAAGTCCAGCAGATCTTCTCTCCCTCTGAAGCCTGGACCAAGGAAGATGGACTGGAGGGAGGGCCTTCTTCTTACTGTGGCTAGGCCCATTTGGATGATGGTGAATGGTTTCATCCCATTGAATCCTGGGATTGGCAGTTTAGGGAGAGGCATTTAAAATCTCAGCCAGGGAGCTCCTTTTCTGCCTCTGACCAAACTAACACACAACAACAACAACAACTTGAAGAAAGA